GGGGTAGGGGTGGGGGTTGCAGTCTGGTGTTGTGTACTACTAGCGAGAAAATCGCTGCCAAAGTTTTCTGATTTCCGAAACCTGAAACTGCACTACCTTTGTTTTGTTTTGTTTTAGTAGAGGTTTTATGGCGCTTGCAAGTGCATAAGGTCAAATGAGGCGCCACTGCACTTCTTCAGATATTTTGTGCCTTTTATCAACGCTAAAAATAAAAAAGAAATCAAAGTCCACACAGATATGTGTTTGTAAGTGGACATAAAAAGGGTTTAAAAAAAAACCCGAAAGAAAATAATAATTTTTTTTATGCCCAACGGGCGGAGAAATGTGGATTTCTTTGATTTCCTTATTTTAACAAGGGTCTGATTTCATCACGATGCAAGACAATTTCAAAAAATGAGAACATGAAAAGTACATTACTCACTTACTTACTACCCATTACACCATCTGGCGTTTAGGGCAGCAACAAAGGATCTCCAGCTCTGTCTGTCTTGGGCCATCTTGGTCAGCGTTCCCCACGAATGATTCCAGGACTTAACTTTTGTCTTTGTGGTGTTCAGGTCCTCCATCTTCCTGCAAACAGCTTTCTTGCGGCTTTCACTGCCCGCATTCAAAAGTATATAAATAAAATTTATATGGAAATAAATTTGTCAAAAAGACAACAAAGAAAACCAACTCGTCCCCCCTGCCCACACTTTTTTTTCGCGGGCTGGGAAAAGAAACCGATTTTTCAACAATGAAAAAAACCTCTTTAGGAAATTAGCTACTGTGCAAAGAAAACCGGCACCGATGTTGACGTAAGCACTCACAGGATCAGTGCGAATATGCAAATGAATTTGCAAACAGATGAGGAAAGAAACAAGTCCTCACTTCTGCCCATAAACTACTGAAGAATCTTCACATGGAGTGAGAGAAAGTGTGGCAAGATTCTCGTCACTGTTCTTCCACTGTAGACGATTCCTTGTCTGTTTTTGTTAGGCCATAATTTATTATTGTTGTATCGTCAATACAGGTGTCGTAGAAAAAATCTTGGGAAGAAAACGTGGATGAGACAACTCAGCGTGGTTTGTTAAAGTATTCTATTATATTCTATAAAAAAATTAATATTTAAAAAACTCACTCAAATTGCCTAAAACAATTAAATACGTGCGTCAACGCAGATTTTCAGAAAAGTAGAGGAAAAAAACCCACACAATTGTTTTCATTGTCAACCCAAATTTCCTCAAATTAACGCTCAGTATGTTCGTTTTTTTCATCCTCAATAGTTTGGTATCACAAACTGAAGTGACTGTCAGCTCGGTCCGACGTTGTGTCCTTGGGAGAGGCACTTTACACCAGCTTCCCACTTGGCTCGGTCCTATCGGAGACGGACGTTAAATTAGGAGGTCCCGCCTCTTAAGTAACCTAATAGTGTTGATAGGGGCGTTTAACTCATACCATTTTCAATGAAGTGACTGTTGTGAATACCATAATTGGAGACACAAACAAGTACTTTTCACTGTATGTAGGGGACACAGGGCTGGAGTGGGACATTTACTGAATTGGCTATTCCTCAGTAACTGACGAGACATTAGGACTATACTTTCTTACAATGATCCCACTGTAATTCAATATAAGTTACTTTATTTCAACATAAAATGATCAGAACATTTAATAGGCATATTAACAATCATATTAAATGTAGTCATTTGAAAAAAAAAAGTACTTTATGCAAATTCTGTGGCGTGTTTAGATCGAATTCCGAGTGGTGAGGGTTTTAGTTTACAATCCTGCGTCCCCTTCTGTCTTCTGATATGTTGTTCTGCTGCTGC